ACTGTCAGATATATTAATTATGCAGATCCATTAGTCTGCAGAGTAGAGAGACTGAGGTGTTTCCATTTTCAACTCGTCCCTAATCTTTAAACATTTAAAGATACATTGATGACCAAGAACTTTTCTAGAGGATTTAGTATTTCATGTGCTGGTTTCACTCAAAGTACTCACTGATTCCATTTTCATACATAAATTTGTAATAGAACCACCAGCTCTATTTGTACACAAGCTTAGAATATTTGCTGACAAATTCAAGACTAATCCAACTCTCATTATGTCTTAATCCCCGGTGCTTTCTCTATACCTAACAAATCATTAAGCAGTTAATGGTCAACAAGTTTAAGCACACACATCTATAGCCAAAGAGAGGGTAAAAGGAAACATGGGTAAGATGAACATCAACCTCTACTGCTATTTATTTGAGATTTGGTCACCTCTCTTAATAAAGTGGGAGCTCTGGTAGCATAGTGCCTAAGGTACTTGACTGCTAACCAGAAGGCTGGCAGTTCAAACCCACTAGCCACTCCTCGGAAGGAAGACGGGGCAATCTACTTCTGTAGTGATACTGCCTCGGAAACTCAAGGAGGGGTTGCTGTGAGTCGAGTCCGACTAGACGGCACATAACAACAACAACTTCTAGATGATGACTAAAATATGATACATTTTATAAACCTGTTTCTAAGATTATTTTTAAGGGATGGCCCATATACAATGAGCATTGTGGCTGAGAACAACATATTTTATTAAAAATAGAAGTGCTCACTTGATGACGCCTGTTATATTCAGAAGCCTTATAAATGCTGTTGGGAAAAAAGCAAATTGATTTATATTTCTTTGTCAATACTGGCTGTAATCCCACACTTGATGAGTAAACTGCCCAACTATTATTTTGAAGAGCAAGATAAATAGTTAATGTAGAATTTATGAGTTACCAATTTTGCTTCCTGCAGAAATGACTATCATTCTGCAAACATATTTTAATGTGTACTGCACTCTGAACTCTTTAATTAACTGGGTGTCTATACTGGAGAGGGTTAAGAGGGGAAATCTCTAAAGCTGTTACTTAATAGATACAGCAGGTCAAACCAGGAAATCATTATCATGTCAACACTTCAAAACTTGACTCTTAGTGCTCCTAATTTGTTGTGTTTTTGCTTTGTTTCTTTCTTATTTTTTGTTTTGTTTTATTTGGATCTTGCTGATTCTCTCGGTAAAATATAGCAAGGGTGCCCTGAGCCAGGATCTATCTTCTAGCACATTTTCACCACTCATAATCTTTTCTCTCACTGGAGGAAGAAAATGTAGCATTTCATAGATAAACTCCATGGCTGGTGTGCCCATTTCCAGTCCAAAAGCTGCCACTGGAGGAGAAATTTCAAACATATTGATTCTGTGTCAGCTGCATTTTCTCCCTACAAAACTCATCTGAATTTTATTGGCCTAAATGGGTTTCAATGGGAGTTCAGCGTTCAGGTGCAAAAGAATGCATTTGAGGACTCTGAATTTCCACTTTGTCATGCTTCTCAGCTGGCTTATCGGCAGCTGTGTTCACTTTTTAATTACCCAGGTGGTATAGACAATTTGCAATATTCCACCTGACGTGCCACCTCAGCCCTTTCCAGTTAACCAGAGTGGGAAGAAAATTATGCTGAGGTTGATTAAAAGGAAGATGAGAATTATATACAGTTCTCCACAAATAAATCAATCCAATTGGAAATGCTTTTTATATGTTGCATCAATGGCAAACCAGAAACTTTGAGGTACTGGTATTTCAGAGCTATGTAACATCTTTAGTTTGACTTTTTATTTAAAAGATTGAAAGTCAAAGGGATGGATTTATTGATCAATTAAAAAGGCTGCCTTAATTTAGCCACCTCTGTACATCTCAGGACTTCTAGTGGTGTTGGGTTAAGGCACTCAGCTGCTAATCAAAAGGTTAGCAGTTCAAATCCACCACTCTGCAGGAGAAAAACAAGACAGTCTGCTTCTTTAAAGATTATAGGCTTGGAAACCCTACAGGGCAGTTATACTCTGTCCTATAGGATCACTATGAATCGGAATTGACTCGATGGCAGTGGGTTTGGTTTGGGTTATGTATCTCTTCTTAGGCTGGCTCATTTTCATTACATCCACATCTCTGTAGCTATACAAGCTGAGTGGAAATAAAACAGTCTCCAGTTTCAAACACATAATTAGCTTGGAGTCACAAAGGCACAGTATGTGAGGAAGGAGGCGATACTGTCTCAGAAGGAGGAAAACAAATGAAAATCTGATGTTGTATTGTAAGCTTCTGCAAAACATTTCAGTTTAGGAGTTTGTTGTAGATTGGAAAAATCAAAGGGAACCCTAACAGAAGGTGGAGGTGAAGAGCGTGACTCCAGAATGAGCCTGGTTCAGAATTTCATTGTCATAACTGCATTACCTCAAGGAAGTTACATATTTGCCCTATGTCTTCATTTTCCCATCTGTAAAATGGGAAGGTAATATTTACCTCAGAGAGTGGCTAGCGAAGTCTAAATGAGATTCATCATATAAAATGCTTAGCACAGAGCCAGGAATTCTTGCTAGATACTAAATGCTAAAAACTAAATAAAATACTAAACTACTAATGTACTGATTAAAGGGCAACAATTATTGCATTCAAAGAGAATCTCGTTATAAGGAGGTAAAAATTCAGAAAAAAAAATTACAATTCTTTATTCTGGTTAAAAAAATAAATGATCTCATTGTGATAGTAAAAAAGTCTTTTAATTATTTTTCTCACCATGGCACAGATTTTTATTACTAGAATAAGTTACAGAAGTTTTTTGCATCCTGGACTTTTCAGAAGTAAATAAATACTTTAAAAATACTTTTAAAAGTGATACCTCTAGGGAAACTACATAGCAATCCTAATCGAACTGACGGGTCTAACCTCTAAGACACTTTTGCCCTGTTGGCAATCCTATGACAACAGGTATGAGCAAGCTTGGGACCTTCACCTTCATACTCTTATAAACCTGCAATCCAGAGGAAAAGCCATAGCTGCCTCAGAATGCCATGCTCTCAAATCTGCATTCACTTAGATTACTGAACAGCTTGAAATGATGCTAAACTCTGTTTCCAGCCAATGGCTTTATATACGACCTGTTACAGCAGTGGTAAAACGGAGAATGGTAACTGAGACTGTTAAGGTGCTGGAGGTAGACTGGGTGTGTGTCAGAAGGAAGGGATGCTCAATGCTGTGAGTTTACATAGCAGTGATTGCCAACAGCCCAAGTTTCAAATTTTTGTTTTGCTATTTGTTTTTCTTCTATTAAATATCAAATTGCTAAAGAATAGTCAGGAGCTCTGGTAGCATAGTGCCTAAGGTGCTTGACTGCTAACCAGAAGACTGGCAGTTCAAACCCACCAGCCACTCCTCAGAAGGAAGATGGGGCAATCTACTTCCATAGTGATACTGCCTCGGAAACCCAAGGAGGGGTCGCTATGAGTCGGGTTCGATTTGATGGCACATAACAACAACAATAACGACAAAGAATAGTCAGTTCTCTCAGCCAGGGTTTATGGCATCCTAAGACTTACTGTAATCACTAACAAGGCATTATAATAATTTCATCTGGCTTGGGAATTTCTCTGCTTTTGAGGCTGAACTAGATTAATTAACATTTACTCTATTTGTCAGAAGCAAATGGTTTCTTTCCAGCTTGCAAAGGGTGTATGAAGGGGATATATCCAAAAGGGAGCAGATGTGAGCATCAGTGCATTCGCAGTTACTCCATACAATTTCCATGAACTGCCTGATGACTACACTTCAGGAGAACTTCCATAATTGCTAGGCTAAAAAAGAATCTATGCCTAAAAGATCCAAGCACATGTGATATCGCCAACTCTACTTTCAAAATCTCTGAAAACAGTCAGATCTCTTCTTCTTTCCTGTTAAGCTATGTCTCAACTTACATTATAATATATTCTCTAGCTCCCTTCACCATGAGCAAGACAATGCAGATTTGTTGATTGTCTTGATTGTGAAACAAAAAGAGAAGTTTAAAACATCAGTTTGTTTTCTTTCCAGCAATTACTAAATCATCTTATCACTGTCTAGGATATTTGTATAAATAGCCTTTCTCCCGATTTATGAATTAACAACAAAGATTTCAGACCCCCTTTTTTCTCTCTGAGGGGGAAAAAGAAGTAGTTAACCAAGTAATGCACTTAAAAAACATTACTAGCAGTGGTGGCCAGAGTTATTTTGCAGTAGTTTGAATTTAATAACAGCAACTTCTCTCTTGGTTAGTGTTAGATTCAGAAACACAAGAGCTGGAGCTTAGCACTTAACAGACGGCAGCACAAATACACAGTGCAAAGAAAGAAAGAAGAGAAGCAACAGTCACTTGTGATTATAGCTCTACACAGAATGGAGAGATGACTCGCTAGAGATTTACTTTAATGATCTGAATACTTTTCATAAATGCAGTTTTTTTTTAAAGGTATATGCACCTGATCTTTTGGGAAGCTTATCTCATTCATTCTAACTTGGAAACAGACCTTATGAAACTAGCACACAACATTCTGTACAGCAGGCATTATTTGGTAGTTATTTATGGGGTTTTATAAATTCTTGCTCCAACATTTAAGAAGAAACTTTAATTAAAATGGGAAGCAGATTGTAACATAATGAATGTACTTAACACAATAAACACACCAAGGAGGGTGAGGTAGAATGGCATTTCATTTTTATAAAGCCAAGTATAAGTTTTCTTAAACAGTTTCTTTACTATGTGAAAAGAGACCTGGCATATACTTCAACAGCTAAGGTAAGAACACTATCATGCAACACAATCTCTTTGGTTTAAACATATGAACACAAGAAAGCAAAGTAAAAACAAATATGCTATCACTGAAGATTTCAAAAATTATGTTTAGAAATAACAGCTACAGTGCAGCCCACATGCATTTATGCAAACACACACACACATACACACACAGCTATCTGTAAATCAAGACTGATATAAACTTACCGGAGCAAATATCACCATACACATTTACAAAAGAATTGATAATCCAACTTCCCTCTCCTGAAAGAAAATACAGGTTGTCTCATACTAAAAATACAGCTTCTCTGTCCACAGCACCAGCCACTTGTCCCTCTTTTTATGAAGCAAAGGAGGAGAACAAGAAAATCAATGCGGAGGGAAAGTGAGATGTTATACCAATCAGGTAGCAGCTTCTGCCTTATTTGCAGAGAGATGGCAAAACGGTCATATTATTAGACAGTGACAACCCACAGCCGAAGTGGAGGAATCTGATACTTCCCTCTAGTGAAGCACTGCCTGCTTTGTAGGGAGGTAGCTCCCACCATGGTGAGCTCCCACACTTGGCTCTTTTTTCACAACTCCAAGTGCAGGACTGCCTCTCACAAGCAGCCTGCCTCATTCTGAGAGCACCAGCTCCCCTTTTACTCAGCAGCCCCCTCCTCTTTCCAACACAGTGCTTCAAAGCAAAGTGGAAAACAAAATGGAGCCAGGATTTTGTGTGCGGATGGAAAGTGTTAGTTTTAGAAAATCTTTATGAATTTATTTACATAGATTAGGTATAAAGTCTTCATTTTAATGGAAACTCCAGGATGTGAGGCTTGATCCCCATTTGGGAAATTCATACATTGCCCATAAATAATAATTAAGATGATGGTATTAAAGACAGGTCTTCCAGGTTCTGGCACTTTAGAAGGGACAAATTACACCTTGGTTGTACATTCATTGTAGGAGTGTTACTTAAAGCTCTTCTCCTGCAATATTTCAAGATTATAAAGGTTCCCGAGGTTTACGAGTGACCTGGGTGTACCTTTTCTTTCTGTGAGCCTTTACAGGGAGAAGTTGAATTTGACTAATTCAAGAGGGCAAAATCACAGCCCCTTACACCAACATTTTTTTCTTTATGGACTGGCCCCAAATTCATAAAAAGGCTGTCCACAGGTTAGTCATCCCATACTACCTTCCTGTGGAAATTTGTTCCAGGACCTATATTGTTGTTGTTAATTGCCGTTGAGTCAGACCCAACTCATAGCAACCCCTCCTTGGGTTTCCGAGGCAGTATCACTATGGAAGTAGATTGCCCCTTCTTCCTTCCGAGGAGTGGCTGGTGGGTTTGAATCGCCAGTCTTCTGGTCAGCAGTCAAATGCCTTAGGCACTACACTACCAGAGCTCCTTTCCAGGGCCTATACTGCAGGTTAAGTCAGAGAAACTTCGGTGCCTCTTCCTTACACATTCCCTGCATCTGGACCCTACTCAGCACAGGAATATTGATTGGCTGCAGGTGGTCCCAAGTGTCTCTGCTTTATCTTTTGTGTAGTTGGTGATGGCCAAACTGATACCTACCTCGAATGGCAATGTTATGGATGGTTATTAATTCAAATACATAGAGCTTTGTGTTTGGCAGAGGTCCAGTGAACATGAGGGAAGCTCTCTAAGAAGTGGACTGACACAATAGCTGCAACAATGGGCTCAAACATACCAACAATCGTGAAGATGGCACAGAACTATAACATATAATGCTGCTGTGAGTTGGAGTCAACTGGATGGCAACTAACCACAACACTAATTTGGAATCTGTTCCCAGTCTTTGAGTTAGTTTCTCTCATTCTGTCACACACACACACACACACCACACCACTACAAAAAACACACCGTTACCATTGTCATCATCTCTCCTACTCCCTTTCTTCCTTCTACTATACAAACAGTAACAACTCTCAGTGTGGGAGCGGAGGGAGAGGTAAGAGAGGAGAAGGTAGGGAAGGTTAGAGGACCAAACCAAAAAACAAAACAAAATGAGGAGTCAGGTGATCTGGATTCCAGTCCGAGCTCTCTATTTTTATCCATGTGACTTGGGGAGGCCCCTTAACTTCTCTGCATGATAGTTTTCTCTTTGTAAAATGGGTATTATGACACCTCATGGAGCTCTGTTGGAAGGTGTGTGGAACAAATGAAAAACTGCTACCAAACCTACAGTTCACACACACAAACTGGCTCAGGATCTGCCTCCTCCTCCTTGGGTGGATTTGCTCTTTATGCATAAGCCTTTAGGGTACTTCCTAATTCTTCAAACTGCAAAGGAGATCCTTTGAAATTCTGATAGGAACCAGATTCTCCCCATCACCATCACTCCTCACCTGCCTATTGAAAAATCATTGCATTTCAATGACTCTGGGAGCAAATAAAGCAAGTGTACACAGTGGAAGCAGGAAAAAGACTGAGGATCAGGAGGCATTTATGGTAAGCATTCAGTAAGTATTTACTGAATAAATGAGTCGAAGACTGACTGAATGAATAATGTCACTGGACTGAAAGCCATAGTTCCCTGCCAGGTGGCTAAGAATGAGCAGAGTTAGAGGCTGCTATTTCCAGCAAGACACCTATAGGAGAGAGTTGTATTTAATTGTTCAAGGTTGGGAGTGAGCAATCTTAGCAGTTTTGAATATTAAGACCCCCTAATTCAAGTTTTTAAAAAAGTTTTTTTCTTCCCATATAATAATAGTATTTTTATTCCATTTTAGTTGTTGTTAGTTACTGTCAAGTTGGTTCTGATTCATGGCAACCTCATGTACAACAGAACAAAATGCTGCCTGGTCCTGTGCCCATCTTCATGATCTTGGTGTGCTCAAGACCACCGTTGTGGCCACTGTGGGTTACGAGTGCCCTCTAACACAGAGGTGTCTCTGGGTGGTGCAAACAATTAAGCGCTGGGCTGCTAACTGAAAGGTTGACAGTTGAGGCCACTCAGAAGCACTTTGAAAGTAAGGCCTGGTGGTTGGCTTTCAAAACATCACAGTCATTCAAAATCTTATGGAGCATAATTCTACTCTGATACACATGGGGTTGCTATAAATCAGTTTCCAAACTAGAAGGCTCATGCTCCAGCAACATATCAAACAATATTCTGCTGGAGTCCATACAGTTTTCATTGGCTAATTTTTAGAAGTAGATTGCTATAATCTGTCTTAGTCTGGAAACTCTTCTGAATCCTGCCCACCATGAGTGATGTGCTAATATCTGAAATACCAGTGGCATAGCTTCCAGCATCACAGCAACATGGCAGCCACCACAATACGGCAAACTGAAAGACAGGTGATAGTGTTCCATTTTACAGATAAGAAAACCAAGGCCCAGAGAATAAAGTAATTTATCCAGGGGTACATAGTTAATAATCGGTAAAGCCAAAGTTTCAACCTGGTCTCATGTCAGGATCTGAACTTTAAACTACTCCGCTTTAGATGCAACATGATGGCAATTACACTTTTATTTGTTCAGTCTACAGATGTCTGCAATGGCTCCATAGCTCTCCCCAGTGAAGATTCACGCCATAAAAACTGGGAACCCTTGCTGTAGATAGGAAGTCAACCAAGCAGACAAGGACCATGGCCAGAATCCACTGTATTATTTATGGACTTAACACCTTGGCAGATGGGAGGTGTAAGGATCAGTCCTGGGTTTGCTAGTGGTTTTCTGTATGATCCTGTGTGTGTTCCTTAATTGCCTCGTTTTTTCTCAATTTTAAAAGGAAGGTTTCCCACTAAATAACTCTAAAGGGCTTTCAGGGTTGACTTCAACTAGATAAGGTTCTAAGACTTATAGATTGATTCTAATCCTATGTTTGGGTTACATTTCCTGCCTCACATTTTATTCCACATAAAGCATCAACATTTTCTGTAACCCTACTGCTATCACCCTACTGCCATCATGTCTTGCCTGGACGTCTGCAAGAGACTCCCAGAAGATCTTCCTGCTTTCATTCTTAAACCCTTATCATTCATTTTCCACACTTAGACTGACTCTTAAAATATAAATTAGATCATATCACTCATATCAGAAGAATACTTCAATAGCTGTCCAGTAGGCTTATAAAGAAACCTAAACTCTTTATCATGCCTTCAAAGCCTCATGTGATCTGGTTCTCCCCTACCTTTCTGACCTTCTCCCTCTATCCTCTATAGCCACACTGGCCTATGCTTTTCACTTGTTATTGCTTCTGCTTGGAACATTTTCCCCTCAAATGTTTGTCTACTGTCTCTTCTTTTGTCATTCAATTCATACATAGTTCTATTGTCTACTCTTTACAAGACTTTCCTTCCCTGATCACTGAATCTTAAAATAAAATAAAAAACCAAAACCCTCTCTTCCAAGTAACTCCCTCTCCATTGCCCTATTTATGTGTGTGTGTGTGTGTGCAATTATAATTGCTTGATATGCTCTTGTTTATTTTTCATTAGTGATTTTCTCCCTTCACTAAGAAGTAATCACTATGAAAGAAGGAAGCATGTTTGTTTTACTAAGCACTGTATCATCAGTGTTTAAGATGGTATCTGGCACACAGTAGGTGTACAATGAACATTTGAACAATGAACAAATGAATCAGTGAATCAATATGAGAACAAATTAGCCTTGAAGACCAAAAACCAAACCAAACTCACTGCTGTTAAGTCGGATCTGACTCATAGCAACCCCTCCTTGTGATTCTGAGGTGCTATCACTATGGAAGTAGGTTGCCCAGCCAGTGATAAAGAAATCTGTATCTACCAAAGAGCTTAGCTTTAAAATGCAGGGCAAGATGAACAAAGATGATTGATTAAACTGTATTAGTGGAATCAGACTGTTTTTATTTCCTCATTCAGAGAACATTCTTGAGGGATATCAGATTTCAGCATCATATTGATTTAAGTGGAAGTTATGCCAAAGATGATAGAGAGCTCCTTGGGTAAACCATATTGATCAGTTGTTTATTAGAAACTTGGGTTCCCAAGGTTTAGCTCAGCTAGAACCACATGGAGCAGTGAATATTTGGATACCTGATCATACATTTGTCATCAGGGAGCAAACAGTCCTGTCAACTAACTACTTAGACTGTCGTCACCTTCCAATTGATCTGACAGTTCAGACAGTTGGCTACCACTCTCTAACATGCAACTGAAACTGAGAAAAATAAAGTCATGTGCCATTATGATGGTTCTTGTTTGGAAAATGGTATTAGCATCGTTGCTTCTGCTTTAAAAATAGTTATCCATTATTAGCCTATTAAAAATAGAAGTCCAATGTTCTCCAAGCTGGTTATTTATAGAGAAGGTTAAGTATATTAAAATAATCTGTGATTCTCTGGAACCACATTAGCAATGTTAATTTCCAGTATGATCAGTTCTTCAACTCTGATCTTCCAATTGCTACGATCTTTCAACCGAGCATGACATTCAGACAACTTCAAATGATGTTTTTCCTTTTTGTGAACTGAAAAGCTTTCCTCCCCTTTGGTAGACACACCTCCTGGTAAATGCAACAGTTTCTTGCCCTTATAGCTTCCATTTTTAAGCATCTGGCCTCTCACAAGACGTCCTTTCAAGACTATTTGCTTCAACGTTGGAC